GACAAACGCTTCGTGACTGGCTCCGTGAGGAGATACGAAAAGGAGATTTGGAGCCCTATGTTCGACTTTTCAGAAGCACAGTTGGTCCAGGGTTTCTATTAATGGGCGACAACATTCGTCGACAACTGGTCGACAATTACCTGGAAAGTGAAGATATTTATCACATAGGTTGGTTGGTCAGACCTCCTGAGCTTAACCTAATAGAGTATGTCTGAGACGCTTTTTTAGGGCAATTTTATCTCGCCCTCCTTTTCCAAGCTACATTCCGGAGTTGAAAACTGCCTTGCTGCAGGAGTGGGATCGACTGCGACAGGGACTCCTCAACTGCCTCTCGTCGAGTATATTGTCACGCTATGCGACCTGTCTGGCTGTGAGAGAAGACCTTACCCCAGATTAAATTCATTTTCAGTTCGATATCACAACATAGGTTTTGGACATTCCTGCACTATGAGCTTTACTGATAATCATGAGTTCATAAAATGACTTTTGATATAAATGAATATTTATATTAATACCATTAAAATCTATCCAATAGTTTTTCAGAAATTCGATATAATGTACAAATTCTTTTAACTTTGCATACAAGTGTATCTTATCAAAGGATAACTGTTTTCAGCAACGATACTGCGTTTTAGTTTATTATTTTCATTATTTGAGACTAGAGACACTGGCAAGTACACATCCGTCTTCGTTATTAGATTTAATATACGAGAGACTTAAAATTCACAGTAATATTCTTGGATGAACTTCGTAACTAAATACATATGGTTAACATAAGGTGAACAAAATCTTCTTGTCAATCTCGAGCAACATTAAATTTGGCAATTTTCAATTCCCTGTCGGATCATATGCCCCATGCCAGCTGCTTATCAGTCTAAAGGTCAAAGGTAATTGATTATTTAGGCCAAAAGCGAAATATATTCCTACTGGTCATTAAATGTTTTACATGGATACTGTTTTATTTTTAAATAAAATTGTAGCGTTAATTATTGTTTCCCTAAGCTCCATTTTCCGTTCAATGCTTTTTTTCCTTTCTTCCCAAAATTCTTAATGTTCCCTTGCTCAATTTCTAAATTGCAACCACTATAAATGATAGAATATATTCTTTCGCGGGCCTTCTGTTATATCCAATGTTGTGAGTTTAGGTTCACCAAAGCACAAGCGTCATCTTTAAAACAAAATCCCAAAGTCAGTAAACTCACAAGATTATGTTTTCCCCGAAATTCCAGTTCACTGACATTACTTGCCCTAGAGAAGTGGCAGTAATGAGGACGTGTGTTTTTGTGTTTATGATTACATTTAATTACTCAAGCAAGTAGTTGCTTTAGAACAGATTATGAGCCATTGACGTCACATTCGAAAGATTCCTTGTTGGGAAGAGCAACGAGAAATTCTATTCATTACAATGGTTTCAAAGCTTAGTCAAGTTTTAAAGACGAGAAGGTTTCTTCTTTATATGTCCATTTCAAAATGTCCCAGCATTTTGAGACATACTACAAGCCTTTTGTGCTATACAATACCTCAATCTAGTAATTGCATAATGCGGCCAGTTTTTAAATAAAAACCCGTAGAACCAGACATTCTACGGGAATATTCCAGTATGTCAGTGCACTGTCGTTCTTCAGGATATATCTTAGAAAATTCAACATTAAAGAAAAAAAGTTTATTTAAAAAAATCTAAGGATATTTATAGAATCTGTAGCAACTATGTTCACGAAATCTAGGAATATTTACAGAATGTTGTTAATTGCTATGGATTTTGTTACTGTCGCTCCGTAAAATCACCTATTTAGGGCACAATGTTTTTAATAATCAAATATAGTGCTTTATAGATATGCAGTTTAATGAACTCTAGAGGTTCACAGAAAAACTGGTATCTGAAAGAATTGCTGAATTTCTATTCTAGACATGAAAATTAATTAAAAATTTGAAGAACTTCTAGTGCATGGTTTTAAATATTACCCCATAACACTTGAAGGAAAGACTAATTTCTTAAACAAAATATTTTGAGGAAGACCAGTTGTCTGACAGCAAGTTATTCAACGAAAAACCAAGTTATTTACGTTTTTATAAAGATGAAACAATAGCCGAAAAATTTAGCATTTGCCCGAGAACAAACTGAACTTGAACAAAACTGTTTCTTTCATAATCAAATACGCGTGTTCTCTCAAAATCTGTAACATACATAATTGAATAGCTTAGTGGAAACACTTGCAGCAATACAGTGTACAATTCAATAAAAAATGTAGTAAATATGGTGAAAGCTTTTCTGGAGACCCTCTCTGAGACTAGATAGAATTTTTGAGAACATAAGTAAAAAATGATGCTAAACATCACTAATTGTCATATTTTGTACAGAAATCGATAGGAATCGTGAGATCTATCCAATCAAATTCTGTTTGTATGGTTTCATTGTAACGAATGCAAAATGATAAAAAAAAAACCACTTAAGGAGTTAATTCCTTGAAATAGTAATAAGATCATGTTTCAAACAAAGTCTGCTTTATGGTTACTCCCTTCCAGTCATCAAAATATTCTAAAATGTCTAGCTTCTAAAATGTCTGTTCGCTTTACTTTTGGGTTAGGTATTTATTTTATTATGAAAACAAGTAACCTTGCTCTTCAGTCATGCGAATGCATGGCATTCAAACTCCAGCTGGTAATTCTCAGAGCTTTATTGGATTATATAATAAGAGAAATAAAAAATACTTCTTTGTTTAATTTGATTGAAGAATGTATTTTGCAATAATTTGTGGAAATAAAAATGCTTTATTTAACCGTATAATCTTTGTTGAAATCATATGTAATTTTACCTAATTCACTACCGTAATAACATATTCGGCTTACAGAGAGAAAGATGATCAATTGATAATATTGGGTCGTTTAATAATTTTGGATGATCTAACCTTCTAATGATTTTTCAAATCAAAATTTTGTTCACTGTTTAATTTTATTGTGAATTATTTCATATCAAGGGACTCTTAAAGACTGATATTTTTCCTAAAGGGATCAATTTTCTGAATTACGATAATAAATCTGATGTAGTAAAATAATCTTTCTGAGTTATGATTAAAAATAATCACACAGAACTGGTAGAATAAGCTATGATAAGAAACTACTTTTATGCATGGTCATGTGCATAAAAAGCATATGCATATAAATCCTCAGATACATATAAAGTAATCATATGCATATAAATTTTATGCATATATTTAAGCAAAAGGGCAATTTCGGGTATTGAGCATATGAAAGTTGATTTGGGGGTCAAGACAGATTTAAGAGTACACGTTTGAAGTTTTATATCTATATATCTAACAGGAAACAACCTGTACTACATTTGCCACTAGAAAAAGCATCCCCAAAGTATTGTAATTATAATTTTTAGAATTTTTAAGCTTTTTTAAGCATTTTAGTCCAAAGGGGCTTTGTCCCTGAAGGACTATTATTTTCGTTTTGCGATTTTGCATTGGCTCACTATAAATGTCCGTTTTAATTTTCAAACTGTTGCCACGAAATGTTAGAGTCCTGCACTATACTTGAAGAAATTAAATAATGAAAAATCTGCATAAATGTGTGTACATTTCTCGCATTGGGATAAAACAACGGTACATAGTGCTATCGAATTTTGAATGACGTAATCCTAGTGCGAATCTAGTGACGTAACAGTGCGAAAAATGTAATATTGAATAAATAAAGGTAACAGAAAAAATGTTAAAAAAACGCCCTCTTGGACGTAATTTAAAATCTGAAACCTTACAGATTTTTTTTATTATATTTTTCTTTATTTTTTTACACAAATTGTAAATTTTAATTTTCGCATAGTTTTCAAATTAAATGTGATGTTCTAATAATAATTTCAAATATATATATCTAGCACACATTTAATTATTAGCTAACTTTGAACTAAACAGATCAAAAAAATTAAAATCTGCATCATAAAGTAAAGCTCCTCGAGATCCTAAGTTCAAGTACCAGTACCGTTAAGCTGAATGATTTTTTACAGAATGCTTATTATGAATTGAAAGTGCTGAAAATTTATCTTGAATATTGATAGCTAAATTCTGTTATTCAAGAATTGAATGTTTCTGAATTAATCATTTATTAAGTAATTCTATTGAATGATTGTTATTCTCAAATTTTATAGAGAAAAGTTCATATAGTAGTTATTGTTGAATATAAAAAATACTCAAGTTGCTATTTAAATCGTTTAATTATATTCTTTTGGATTCTCTTCTTATGCTAAAACAGGAAGTGTAAGAATGGTCAATAGAAAGTGTATCTTGATCTTTGCAAACAGGTTTATGAAGCATAATTGCTCGACTACTATTTTAAAATCCAACCTTCACCCATTGGGTCATAGAATGAGGTTAGTTGACCCTAATTGCACCGAACAAGAGTAAGAAACAGATTTTTGCTCTGCATTCACATAACAGAATAAGAATGAATGTTTTTGAATGAAAACAACTAAGAATATTGCAATGGAAATCCTTTCACAAATTAAAAATGTATAAAATAGTAGTGAGTTCTTGCCATTAATTTTACGTCTTTTTATCAATCAAAAATATTTCGACATAAATTGAATTCGTAAGCACTAATAGTTATGATTTCAGTAACCTAATTTCAGTTAACAGATCGGAAAATAAAAACTTTTAGAACGATTTGACACTATAGCAGAAAATTTTAAGTAATGCCACTGATTTTACAGAAAAGAATACAAAAATGATTCAAGAAAATAAGGATTTGAGCTAAGAAATTATTATTATTCAAAATATATCTCAAAATTAAATATTGCTTCTGCGTTTTGCGTTAAAGTTCAAATAAATACAGTTTTAATTAGTTACAACATATGTAGCTTACAGGTAAAAGTGAAATTTTTGAAAAATATGAAGGGCCGTGAAAATTCGAGGAACTAGCTACTCGCGTCACAGGTAAGATTGTGCAACGGAAGGTTATAAACATGTGGTTAGCCTTGTTTAGAAGAAGAAAACGAGGCACTTCTGTGTATGTTGAGCACAATTAAAGCTAAAATGATGATAGTAGCAAACACGTCTGTGCTCTTGGAATGATTCGTTGTGGTTGTTTTAATGGTACTCAAAATTTTTAAAATCATTGTGCTTTTGTAAAGACTTTTATAAACAAGGCGTTTTTCGCACCGGGTAAGCTAAAAGTGGAATTTTGTTATTTTCAGTGAATAAATGTTATTTAAATTAAATAAAAGCAATATCTTTAAGTGATCGGTTTTTATAATTATAATTAACGTTTTTTCAGTTTTAATACATCTATGCAAAATGTTTAGCTAAAAACTAAATTTTAACTATCATGATATGGTACCCAGTTACTCAGCATCTCACTTTATCAAATGGTTTATTTTTCTTTTTATTTGGAATAGATAAAATACATCTACGTTGATCATGTATAGTAACAATATTGAGCGAATTTACTTCTTTCAATCAGCAACTATTTATATATTTGAAACATTCTCTAAACACAGTATATTACTCATTAACGCATAGCTGTTGCGTACAAAATTTCATTATGAAAATTAAAAGCTAAAATTTTTGAATATGATATATGCTTTTTTTTAAAACAAAATCTTCAGTTAGTAGAGTAAAAGTTTATACAACTTTATTCTGAAGTTATTTTTCCAAAGTCACTTTTCTATGAACAATTATGTCGATTTTATAAGCGTTTTATTGCTGTTGCAAATTTTTCCTCAGAAAAAAAAAATTTAATTTAATTATATCTGCATGCTTTTTGCTGAAACTAAGTTTATTGAAAAGAAATATATGATACGATATAAAATGACGGAAAAATTAGATTTTTTCTAGTGTGCTTTGCGGTAATCAACTAAATCAAAAGAACTTCGAATTTTATTATATTAATTTTTTTTCTCTCAGTAACGGTTTTGTAAATCTTATTCGTATTATTTTTAATGCTACCAAATTTATGAAATTTTTCTGAAAATTTTATTTTGTAAGGCTATCTGCATGAGCATTTTTGTGGTTTGGGCCATATTTAGAATTACTACGAGTCAAGTTAACCTAGAAATTTCGCCAAGAAGGCATTTTCCCCCTTAGATGGGTTATTGTCATAACCAATTAAAAAAGCAAGTATATAGGTATAATTTATAAAATAATAATCTCGTCACAAGTGATGTACCTTCTGTGATGTGTGATACTTCTATCATATTGAAAGAAAAATTTGGGAAAACATAATTTTATTGTTGACAGTCCAGGAAGTTGTATTTCTTTTCGCTCTCTTTAGGCAGAGTCTCAGTATATTTATTTTTATTTCACTGCCGAATCTTTAGATTCAACGTATTAGCACTTGAAAAATCACACACTAATCAGCACATCAGCGTTATGCAAAATATGAAAATTAACTTTACAAATTATGAACCTGGACTATTAATTAGTCCCAGTTCATAAGAGTGGTTTAGTGCTATGATTAAGTAACCATTCATTTTAATATAGATTCATGGTTAATATAAAAATTTAAAAGTTCTTTATTTAATAGTACTCGAAGGCAATCCGCCCAAGAGGATGGATGCCTTCGTGAAGGACGTCTTAAGATAAACTATTTCGTATACACGTTACACACGTGAAAAACACGAAAACGTCATGCAGCCAGGCCGGTTCGCTTCCAACAGAAATACGCGGGAATTTACGGCTCGGCCGCTGGTGGACTTAAAGAACAAATCTTACGAACATAAATATTTTAGCTGAACTTTAAATTAAAAATTATTTTATTAACCTTTTGTTATTAATGTTTCAAGTATTAGTTAACTATTTTCACGAAAACAATTCTTAAACTCAGTTTCTGGAGACTTACCAATGGCCAAATGGTAAAGTCTATTAACACTAGTAGTTCGACACGGACCCAAATCAAGGCGAACGAACTGGTTGCATGAGAGTTTTCATGATTTTCTCCATGTGTAATGTGGACACCAACCAATTTCTCTTAGAAAGTCCATTACGAAATTATCCCTCCCTATTGCTAGAAAGCTCTCGTATTACTTTGCCTAAATCGCCAAACCTAACTAATTTTCCGGATTAGTGGTTGTTGATTGTTTAAATCTTTAGTGGTAAAGAACATATTTTGATTAAATAAGTGATAGTATTGAATGTCAAGGGCACTCTCAGCAAGTTATTATATTAAAATGTACTTTCACTAATCAGTACTTTTTGATTTTATATAATATAAATTAATTAATAACATAAAATAATTGATACTTGTTATGCCAACGGGTTTCTCTTCATTAGTCTTAATGCAGAGCTTAATTTTATTTTCCGAAAATATTTCTATTGATAAATTACACGCTTTAGGAAAGCGTTTTTTTTTAAAATGCCAAGAATACATCATTTCATTTTTTAAAAATAAACTATTAGAAATTGCATTTTTTTCAGATTACAGCCATAATTATATAAATATTAATGTGTTATAAATTATTCTTTCGAAACATTTTTCGAAAGTAACATATTTCTATTCGAGTTAAAAACAGCTGAAATGAAAAATTTATGGCTAATCTTTGGAATATGGTAACAGGTGGTTTGGCGACATTTTGGTAAGGCGATAAAGGTTACTAGCTAGGACTTTAGCAGTGTACATGGATAAAGTCAAGAGTGTGCGCAATGCCATTTTTGTGCAATTCTGGGATGTTTTTTTTAAGTGAAAATAGGTTGACGTGTACATGGATGATACCGTGTATGTGCACTTCTTAAAAACGCGACAAGCAGTGGGCGATTCTGCACTTTCTCCCAATTTCGCACCTAATCTTCGTCATGATTAAGCACTTTTGTTCCATAAAAGTTCTAGCATAAGCGTAATTCGGCTAGCAGATTGTTGGAAAAAAATGTTGAGTAAAAAAAAAAAAAAAAAAAAAAAAAAAAAAGCCTTTACTTTGTGAAAACAAAATGGCGTCCAGAAATAAAACTAGCAGGTTGCTGTAGCAGCGTCGGTCGCCAAATATTCGCCAAAAAATCGCCAAGTTGCCATAATCCAAAGATTAACCCTGATACTTTTTATTACAAAAGAGCAGTACGCCAGTTTCACAATATGTTAGAAATGTGTTTATGCATAACTGTCCCATCATCGATATCCTTACTCAAAATGAACCCTCAATCTGTTTCTTTTAACAGAAATTTGATTCTTCAGATTCTCCAATAACGATATATTTCATGCTTAAGTTTACTGGGAACTTTTTATGCATTTTGAATAAACCTGCGTTTTATTTCTTCATCAGTTTTCTTTCTAAGTAAAATTATACATAGAATTAGCTAATACAAAGCAATAAATATTACTAACCTAAGATTTAAAATTTTGGTACTTTTCGCTTAACAGGCCGTCCGTCGTAATTGTGCATCGAAGTATCAAAGTTTTCGTTTCTTTCTTCGAGTAGCCATGCAAAGACGTTATTAGAAATAAGCCGTGAAGTAACAATGAGTTCAATAATTTTCCCTTAGATATTTTCAGTTGCCTTCTTTGTTAAAGAACTGATTAAAAAAAGAAAGAAAAAAGAAATCAAAATATATTAAATTATGCGAAAAACGATTGTATGAAACTTACACCAAAACGGTTCTACAAAGAAAGAGCGGATGTCTAGTTTGAAAATGCGCTATGTCTTCTTTCCTGTGATAATTATTTGGTTTATTTAGTATTTCTCGGGTCAACAGCTTGTGTTATCAGGATCCTGTCAAATACAATTGTGCGATCTTATTTCTGAATTTGTCTATTGACTTATTTTGGATTTATGAAATAGCTATTCTTTTCAAACGAAGCTGTAGTATGGCTAGGGTCGTCATTTCCATCTGAAATTAGATTCTGCGCCAACATAGTCGTTTAGGGGCTCCTGTTAAAAGATACCAAAATTTTAATAAATCTTATTATTTTAATTGAAATTTCTTAAATTTAAAATTAAGATATAATGAAAATAAATACTCATAAAACAGAATCTTTTCTTTAGTCGCGTTTATACATTACAAATCAGCTGCGAAAGAATGTGTTTCGAATTTTTAATCCTTAGTTGCGGTAGTTTGATGTCAGAAAACGCGACGAGTTCCTAATTTCTAAAACTTTCATGTTAATCATGAATTTATCTGTTCTTATTTAAATACATAACCCATATTTTTGGGCTACTAAAGTTACTGTGCATTCATATTTAAAGTGAAAAACTACATTTTAAATACTAAGCCAATGTTATCACCGAATGTTCGTAAAATTGATAAAATATCCGTATTTGAGATATATACTTGAGAGTTTTGTGAGGGATGAAGTTCAAAATGAGTTAAATAATTACTATTCTGCTATTATATTTGTGTATGTTTCATTAAACTAGATATAAAATTTATATTCATCTCAGTTAGAATATTTGTTCCACTCATAAAATAAATGTAATTTGATGTTCCAGCTGGTGAAACATCCAAATTTTTTAACTCAGAGTGAAAACAATGAAAGCGAAACAATCTTGTAAGCGAAGCGAAACCGGTAATAATGTTTCCTTATTTGTATTCAATAGTAAACTTCATGTGAAACTTTGCTCCAACAGCGGTATAAGACGGCTGTGAACACTGGCTATTCAACTCCGGTGTATGATTACTGACAAAAGGCCTGATTGTATGAGTGCTGATATTTCTCGTGCGTAATTCAAATACGAGAGACTTGAACTAAAACTTTTTAAGGAAGAAATTAAATTTTACTGTATAATGGGAAAGGATAAGAAGTTCCGAAACTATTAAAGAAGTTCAGCAAATTTTTATAGTTTTACTTATAAAGATGAAAGGTACTGTTCTCTTATCGGGACCGGATTAAGAAACGTATGAAGGTGTGTTTGTACGTATGTGCATATATGTGTATATGTATACACACACATATTCATTAGTACCTACATATATCAATGCATACATACATACATTTCTGAACCTGGTCTTGATAGCAGAACAGTAACAGATCAAATAAGTCCATTAAAATTCAGTTTTAATGGACTTATTAATTTAATGGACCAAACATTATTTAATGGACCAAACATTAAAGTTCAGTTTAGAAATAAATTTATATTACTGTACAAGCAACGTAAAAGCATATTTTTGTAAGAATTAGAAAATAGGGTAACAATAGGCTCATAGACATTTTTTGCTATAAATGAGCAAAACACTTCTAGGTATCGATATTGTTTACACCTATAGAAACAGGTACTGGTTAACTGTATTTTCTTCTGTTCTCATAACAACTAAAATTCCAACACATAGGCATTTTCCCATTCTACAATAACAGTAGGAAAAGAATTGAAAGTTTTATAGGTTTATTCGAAATTCAAATTTATTACCTTTCCTGAAAGGATTCACCATCAGCCGAGCGGTTAAATCGCTGAGCATTGGTTGTTCGACTTGGGTTCAAATCCCGGCGAAGGGGCTCACTATACGAGCATTTTCATGGTTTTTCTTATTTGTAATGTAGATACGAGTCACTTTTCCTCATAAATGCTTTCCGCAAAGACATTCGTCCTGTTAGATAGATAGCCCTCGTGAGCTTTGCCATAACCAAACAAATCATCCTTCCTTTTTCACTAATTCTTCTGAGCAGAATTAAAATTTTATTTTCATTCATAAAATCTTACTCAGTCCAATGATAGTTTTCTTTCTAGTATGCGGAAGGAATTACAAGTTCTTCATACATGGCAGTCGTTGGGTGTTTCAAGACCTCTGTAAACGTTTGAAAGATACGAAGTTTTAATTCACAATTAAATTAGAAGTACAAGAAACTATTATCTGAAGCAATAAAAAGTGACAAAATTTTTAAAGTGTTGATTCTTATGTAGAAAATAACTAGCACAAAATGAATAAATATGTCTTCAAATATTTCCTATTTCTTTACCATTCCTTTACAATTTTATAAATCTTTTTTCATTAGAAAAATAAAATTTTCTCAGTATGCAAAAATATCAATTTTTTTATTTTGTTTTCTTTTAGAACATTTTATCATCTAAAATATACTTTCAGCATTTTATAGCATGAGAAAGCAGTAATTGTATTATTTCTTGATTCATTGTTTTATAATGAATTCAATTGTTGTCAATTGTATTGCCACAGAGAAGTCAGAAGATACATAGGGACATTATTCTGGCTGTGACGATCCACCATTTTATGTGTATCCTTCAATTTTTATTTAAATAAATTCAAAATATTCGCTGAAGAAATAATTAAAATTATTCTTTAAGATAAGATTATAAGAGGTACGAAATATCTTTAAAAATATACTTAATTAAATCCATACCTGTTGTGCTATTTGTACTTGATGTATCTAAAGAGAATTTTTGTTGTACCAATCTTCTTAAAGACCGTAATAACGCATGTATTTAGTTCTTATACTTAAGGAACAAGAGAGTAATTTTCCATAATTCTAGAGTTAGGAAACGTCCCTTTAAAAATATATCTCAAATTTTTATTCTACTGTATATAAGTTATACTAATTTTTACAGTTTGACAGTAAATAATGAAGAACAATCTTTCAAATAACTGATTAACTGATTAAAAACGAGTTACATAATTTCTATATAGATGGCAAAGTGGAGATTCAAGGAATACGTTTCGAAGTAAATTCATAAAGCAGGCAAACAAATTTGCTATTGAAATTATCGAAAACAGTTGACTGATTGCTATCCCGAATGTGTGATATTTCATTGCCTTAGAATCTTCTATCAGTAAGACATCATCGAAGCAAATTTATGATCAACAAAACACGTTCTTAAAGCCAAAAATTTCCAGGTTCTTTATTAAATCATGAACACTGTACAAAAGAAATGTCGAAGGTTGGAATTTCTTGTTCGGCATTTCGAAACAGTGTAAAAGGTCATTTACTCCAAAGAAAAAAAGCACATTGACCTTTAACTGATAAGGTGAAAATTCTCTGCTCAACTAGCATGATCATTTCTTCAGAACCCGTAAGTAAAATTGCACATTTTATGATAATTTTTTTTATAAAACTGTTTTCTTGCGAATAATTTCAGTTTATTTTAAAACATGATGGTATACGTTGTGCTGGAAAAATTACGATTTCCTTTCGCTGAATATCTGGTTCGGTTGTTTATATATTTAATTTAATATGCAAAATTCATAAGTATTAAGATTGGGGATTTTTCATGAAGACTGTTCAAGTATTTAGATTATAAAAAAGCACATAAGGGCTATTTACCTAAGGCAAGAATACCTTTGTAGAGAACTTTTTAAAGGAAATTGGTTTGCATCCACATTACACATAGGAAAAATTACGAAAACTCCGAAGTAGCCAGACCGTTTGCCGAAACTGTCTTTCTAAAGGAAGCTGGTTCTCCGCCGCTAAGGGACAATAACTATCTTGATAGAAAACCTTTGCAATGAGAATTTTTTATTTTTATATGGTGCTCGTAGATAAAAATACAAGTTAGTAAAATAGCAACTCTACTTTAATTGCTTGAAAGCGGAAAGTTCAGCAAAAGAATTTTAGAATTCTGCTACAGAAATTAAAATTTCATTTTTACAAATTTCTCTTATTCACAGCTACTGATAGAGTTTTCAAAGTAATCTCTATCTTATTTCTGGAAGCTCTCTAAACGGACATGCATATATGAGTGCAGCTTGAAGAGACAATGTTTTAGTCAATTTACCTGCACATGTAATTCGTAATTTTATTTCTTTAATTCCTCAATCCTAGTAAGTTTTCAATCAATAGTAAGTTTTCTTATAAAAGAAATCTGTGTTAATATGTCCAGTAACCACCTATGTTTACACACTATTTAATTAGAACAATGTTGTTGTTATGTGCGATCCAGATGTCTTAAAGCAGACATTCACCTTTTTTTTTTTTTTCCTATGTAGTGACTCTGAACATTTAATTCTTCGCAATAGGTACCTTCATCAAAATGTGCTGAAGTGAGCAGAAGGGAAAAAAAATATTAAAACAATTTTAATAGCGACGTTTGTTTTCTGTGAATGTTTACAAATATATGATTATAGGTACTAAAGTTTTTAATACAATTTAATAAAAAAATCTGATGTGTACACCACATGACTTCCTTGTGCGAAATATTAATTTATACGAATTTTTTCTTGCATTTCATTTAAACAAATTGGTTTGAATTAAATCTTCTTTGTCGATAGCGCATAAACCACAATAGAATAAATGCACTCTTTAAAATTCACTATATTTGTTTATAGCGCTAGGTTCACTTAACAGCGTTATATTTCTTTGATATTATAACTCAGAATGCACAAATCTATATCATTTGAAGAATTATCTAATCGTTGCCACATGTTCTATTCAAATACTCTAATATATCTAGAACGCTGTATAAAAGAAAGTAAGCAAATAAAACAAAAAAGAAACAGTTTTTCACAGACGATTGAGTATTTCTAATTCAATTCATTCAGTTCTCACTTCGCGACAAGGCAAAAATACATAAAAACTCAAAATATCTGTATTAAAAATTACGAAGTAAATTTTAAACACTTATTTCCTTGAAAGAAATTCCAGAAAGGAATAAGCACGATTTAATTCGCAATAATAAATGATGGCGTCATGTCTGTTGTTGCCAAGTTTAGTCTCTCTTTATTGGCAACAAATCTACTAATCTGCTGCTTCAAATGTAAACAAATATGTCCGCCACGTTATTTAAAACATAAGGCTTAGCCGCACTTAAACAGCTTTTAAATTGTACATAATTGTACAAATATTGCTTGCAGATATACTAAAGGTATTAAAACCTTAACCGGAAGATAAGAACAACATAACTCAATCATTTTTAAAGCAAAAAATGCACAATTTACAAACATATAAGAGTAAAGAAACTGAGATCACTGAGCTGAGTAACATAGTGGATATATATATATAAATATATTTATATACGTTTGGTGCGGCCGATTGCAACCAAAATACGAGGTGCACATTTACATGTTATAGCAGTACTATATACAAAGTCCACCAGCGGCCGAGCGGTAACGTCGATGAACAGTGGTAGTTCGGTCCGAGTTTCGAATCCCGCGAACGGGCTGGCTGCATGGGTTTTTTTGTGGTCCAATTTCCAATTGCTTTCGCTCGCACTTGGTTTCAACTACACAGAGGTATTACCAAAAGTTCAGCGTTGCCAAAGGCCAATCACGGTAGTAAAATAAGAGATGTACTTTAGGTACATCTGTCACCCGGAAGCGTAAAAACTTTCAGAACTTGGGACTGGCATTCCTGGTCGTGGTGGCAAAAGTTGCATTCAAAAAATAACAAAAGTCGTAATTATAAAACATAGAAAAAAGCTGGAAATTATTTACATAAATACAACTACCAAGACGGGCTGTGATGTATGGTGCGGGGTCTTTTGACCACATATTCAACAGTAGGGTCATAGCCGCACAGGCTTCTAATAGAAGCGTGTTTGTGGTTTTTCCCATGTGTAACATATATATGAGTCAGTATCCCTTAGAAAGACCTCCACGAAGGCATCACTCCCTTAAGGCAGATAGCCTTCGAGTGCTTTGTCGTAATCTTATAAACCAAACCTATATACAAAATTTCAACATTCAGAGGCTACTCGTTTATGAGCCACGTACGTACGTACATACGTTCGTACAAACGCCACAAAAAATTCTCTTTAGAATTCATTTTAAAACATTTTTATAATTTTTTTGAAGGAAAAAAGTCTTTTGTTCAGATGTTACGCATAAACATCGTTAAATTGCATTCGATAGAGGTCAAAATGGATATTTTCGTTGAAATATGCTACCTGAAACATTTCGCGATTATAATACTTCCTTTTTACTTCGTACAAGGAAGTAAAAAGGAAGTATTATAATCGCGAATCGTATAAAAAAAGTATTATAATCGCGTATATTTTTACTTCGTACAAGGAAGTAAAAAGATAATTAATTTTCCCTGTAAATAATATATGCAAATATTGAGATTTCAAGAAAATAAACAGTTTGAGCCTTGGAACTGCTCTTTTATTTTGTTTTCATATGTAGTCAGAAATGGCCTGAACTGCTTTTTATCTGGAAACTCTTAAGTACGATAGATTGCAAAATTGCCAAATAAAACACTGCTTTTTGACATAAAAACACACATTACGAAATATGTACATACAAATAACATTAGTTCTTTATCAGTGTTTGAAATTTCATTTAATAGTTCACGCCATAGTTCAAAGACACAAATTATATTCTTGAAGCGGTTTTAAAAGGGCACGGTAATCTGTAATTCTAAAGTTCACAGCATGATAATGGCATATCAGCAGCGCCACTTGAATAACGCAGTTTTGCTCCTTCCGGAAACGACGTATAATTCAGAAGAAATTTTCTTTTCATCCTGAAATATATTTTTAGCGAATTTGCTTTAAGTTTTGACTTTTATTTATTAAATTAATTTTTTTAGTACAGAATAAGAATAATACTTGTTTTAAGTAAATTATCTTATATTGCAGTCTTTTAAGAAAACAAGACGGTCTTTTAGTTGATAACAATGTTTAAAGGAAGAAAAAAAAATTTTTTAAATAAAATTTGGTAACTGCTGAATTAAATTTCAGAAGGCAATTTTATTTACTGCTTTTACAAATCAGTAGCCATCTGAATTCAGTAGTTTATTTAACTGCTAACATTTAATGCTGAAATGAAAACTATTGTGTTACACACCAGAGCCGAGCAGATGAGATCGCTAAACACTGCTTGTTCGTCTCCCT